GTTGTCCTCCATCCACTGCCTGGCCCTACCGGGGAACTCCCGCTCCTTCAGCTCAAGATCCTCCATCAGCTTTAAGTTCTCCTCCTTCAGCTGAAGGGTCTCTACCTTGGCCCCCTCGGCAATGGCGGAAAGATCAGCCATCTCATTTGACTGCCGGGCGGTCAGCTCCTTGAGGTCCCGGTTATGAGCCTCATATCTCTTCAGCTTCTCCTCCAGTTGGGCTAACCGGGAGGAGGAATCTTCAGTGAGTTGCTCCAAGACGTCAGGCCTAACTTCACCCATCTGCACATTGAAAAGAACATCGGTTAGTGTGAAGATTAAATGGCAAGAGGAGGTACCGGTTAGCACGAAGATTACCCCTTTCAGCTTGAGGGTCAGTTTGACCCAAAGCTCCTCCAGCAACTCCTCAGCCGGGATGTTCTCCCCCCTTTTCTTCTTGGCCGACGGGTGGTTGGTGGCCGCATGTTTCACTCTCTTTTTCCCCTTTCCTTTGTTAAGGGGAGAATTCGCCGGTTCTCTCCCGGTCTGAGAAACTCCCCCGGTCTCAGGAGCTTCCTCTTCAGAATGGATCTCTATGGGTTCCTTCTGGACCGGTACGGTTGCTGAAGTGTGTGGACCGGCAGCAGAGGAAGAACCACCGGCAGTCTTCGGCATATTGTACGCCCTGAAATTCATATCTACAAAAACAGGCAGAATATCACCAAGTATTCAAACCATGACCGGTTCAGTAAGAAAAGAAAGAGGAAGGAAATAGGCAGGTACCTGGGTGACTTGGGCCTCCAGCCTCTGCAGTGTTGCCCGGGGAGGGTCCCCCGTGCCCCGCTGCTTCATGGGCCCGGGAGGAACCCTCGTCACCCGGTTGGATACGCCAGACCCAACCCCCATAATGGTACATCTGACCGGTGAAGGGGTCCCCTTTAAGAAGCTGTTCCCGGCTCTCCTCCAGATCCGGGGTAGCCGGCGGTTCGGTAAACTGATGCTTAAGGAGGTGGTCACTCCATGTCAGACCGGCCAAAGGAGTGACGGAGGGGGGAAACTTTATGAAGACGAATTTTTCCTTCCACAAACGGTTGATTTGTGGAAGGTCAGAGATGAACTTGCGGTTATTCCGTCCCTTGAAGTAGACGAAACCTTCGCAACCCGGTTTACCGGGGCGAACCTCAAACATGTAAAGGAAGAGGCGAAGAGAGGGGTCTATGCGGAGGTGGGCGCAGATGTTTGGGAAGGAATTTAGCAACCGGTGGGCATTGGGAGTAATCTGGCCGGGTAGGATTTTGAAGCAATGGCAAAGCTCGACAAGGAGGGGGTGAAGGGGAAAAATGATACCACTCTCTAAGGAAGCAATGTGGAAACCAATCCTATCCTCCCGGTGAGGTTCGATGATGTTGGACCAGTTATCGTCATATTCGAGAACATAGCCAACCGGAAGGTTCCTACGGGCTTTGTTCAAAGCTATCTTGGAGACATGGGGGTAAATGTCCGAAACAAAGGAGATGGGGAGTGGAGAGTAACCGGCTGCGTCCAACCTCTCCACCCACTGGTCCCGGGTCTCTCTTTCCGGGTCATAAGGGGCCGGTTCGTCATTGACCGGCTCCTCCCCCTCCGGAAATAGGTGACCGGGCATCTGGTTTAGTGGTTGCGGTTCAGGAACGCTAGGATTTGGAATCGACCGGGACTGGGGAATGGGGGAAGACGACCCGGTCGAAGAAGAAGAAAGGGACTCCTCGGATGCGCGGGCATCCGAGACGGAAATATCCTGACTATCAGGGGAAGACATCGACCGGGAATAAAAGCGAAGAAGATGGAAAAGCTAAAGAAGAGAGAGGAGAGCTTACTTGGCTCGGAGGGCTGGAAGGCGAGAGAAGGAAGCTAGACCGGTAGGAGCTCTGGAATCGAATTGCGAAGAATGAGAAGCGAAGAGGGGCGGAGCTCCTTATATAGGCGAGGAAAATTTGAAAGGGAGCGACGTGGCCCATGCAGAGCGACGGGTCTGCCAACCGACGGTTGCAACAGTTGGTGGGCGACGCGTGGCAAAATTCAAAGTTTGAAATTCAAATTTCAAAAATTTTAGGCGGGAANACAAAATTGCATAACCGAGAAGTGGAGGGCTTATTGATGGGTGTATTTCACCCATGACCGGTCAAGGGTCCGAATCCGAAAATTGACCGGTCAAAGAAGTCAAACTTGAAAGGGAGATCTGAGTCGTCAGCGGAGGGATGGTTGGTTGACCAGACTAGTTGACCGGTACACTTCGGATTAGTGTACCGGTCAAACTACTCCATCGCCTAAATTCATCCTCCGAAGTTAGCCAAACCAACCCTCGAAGATCACCCGGTCTAGTTTCCGAAGATCGGAGAGTGTCGGCAGGAGGAATCCAAAAGGATTTGGACTATAGTGGTTGGAATTGCCGAGATGCTGAAGGCATCTTTCCAAACCAGAGCACGACAAAGGCGCAGCCCCCCACGCAAAATGACAAGGCTACGCAGATCAGTCACCTCGCAATACATCAGCAACGTGCCCCCACGTGGGTGCACGTGGTCTTGCCCCCCAGCTTAGTATATATAGCACTTGTAACCCTCGAAGAAGGGGATCCGAATTCATTCTCTCTAAACCCCCTTGTAAAAGTGACCGTGCATTCTCTATTATAAGATAATTCGGGCTACAGGTGTTCCACCTAAAGTCCTACCGGTCATACTGAGTGTTTTTACTTTCTTTGCTTTACTGAATCAAGCCAACTACTCTAGACCTGGTCAAGTATAGTTTGACCGGTCAAGTAATTTACACCATCAGATAGATTTTATTTTTTAATACGGAGTATATACCGTATATATGTTATTTTTTATATATTTGTATTAAAATATTTTTTCCTTCAAGTATATACTCCCTCTGTCTAATATTAAACTTTACGTTTTGACCGGACACGCAAATTTATGTGGAATGAAAATTGGTTTGACTTTCCTATTATACCCTCAAGCTTTTAGCTCTCTCCCCCCTCTGACATCTAGCACCCCACCGCCGCCGGTGCTTCTGCAGCCCCTCGCCTTCGATAGCCCCTGCCGCCGCTGCCCCCTCGCCGTCGAAAGCCCCTACCGCCACTGCCCCTCGCCGTCGAAAGCCCCTCGCTTTCAATAGCCCCTGCCGCCGCTGCCCCCTCTCCGTCGAAAGCCCCCGCCGCCGCTGCCCCCCGCCGCCGAAAGCCCCTCGCCGGTGCTGCCTGCTGACCAGATCTCTTTTCTATATCTGGTCAGATCTCTTTTCTGCCCGCTGCCCAAGATGCAATCTGTTAGATCTGATTGACGAGAGAAGAAAGAAAAAGAAGGAAGAAGAAACAGAAATAAATGAAGAAGAAAGAAGAAGAAGAAAGAAGAAGAAGAAGGAAGAAGAAAGGGAAAATTGAAGAAGAAACAATACGGGAGAAGAAAGAGGAATAAGGAGAAAGAAGAAAAAGAAAGAGTAAGGAAGAAAGAAGAAAGAAGAGGAAGAAAGAAAAAAAATGAAGAAAGAAAAAAAGAAACGGAAGAAGATGGGACAAGGGTAGGAAGGACATTTCCTTCCTAAAAACTTTTCTAAAATAGAAATGTAAAGTTTATTTGTGGACGGACGAAAAAGGAAAGTGTAAAGTTTAATTGTGGACGGAGGGAGTATTTGTTAAAGGTTTTGAGCAAACGAAGGATGCGATGTAAGATCGTATTGAGGAGTAGAAGTTCTTTGTGGCGCTGAACAAGAACGCATCCTACCGAACACGAGACCAACTCACTTCCAAATAGGGCCACATCAGTCGTAAAGTCTGAAAGCTTATTGGAATTTACAATTAATGCTCTCAGTCCTGGAAGAGCGGGACGAACAATGCCGATATTTTGCGGCAAGTCACCGCCCAGTATCAAGAAGACGGACACCAAGGCAAGGTCCCCGTCGATCTTTGGAGAATTTTAAGATGTTCGCCGAAATGGCAACAACTCCACAACCTTGAGGCCGGATCGTCAAATAAAAGATCGTCCGTCGAGGTTGAGGGAGACTATCGGCTATTCGGAACAAAGGCCTCCCTTCAACCCAAATGACTCTGACGACGAGGACCCCATTCCACGCTCGATCGGAAGGAAGAAGGCAAAATCTATTGCCTCGGGTTCTACATGGGTCGGCTCTATTTCATCTCACAACCAAAATCGACCGGACAATGATTAAACAACTGCGGGTGTTCAATATTAGGAAAGAAGACATGGAGAAACGAATGCAAGAGAAGGAAGAGGTCGAAATAATGAAACCGACCTTGGTACGTTATCGGACTTCAAACGTATGTTTTAATGTATTTTTTATTAAAAGTTCTTTTTTTATTGAATGTAATTTTTTTATTTTAATGATTTATTATCATTTAAATTTAATTAAAATGAAATTTTGTTTAATTTAATTTTAGAATATGTGTATGTAAAAAGTAAATGTTTGAAGTCTCAGTTTAAAACTTCAGGGTTTAGAACCCATTTCGAGTGAAAACTATGAGGTAAGTTAAAGCCGACATGACAGGAAGATAAGTTTTGAAGTCTCTATTTGAAGTTCCAAGACTTCATGGGCATTATGAGTGCTCTAATTGTCAATAGTGTATTGAATTTAATTGTGTGCTCTTCATTCTTTGCATGCACCTATTTGTCAATTCTAAGTTCTTGCTCTTGACTCACTAGCAACACATTTTTTTGGCTCTAAATGCCTTTCTCTTTCCACTCTTGTTCAAGTGATCATTTCGTGTACAACCTGAAATGAGAGAGTTCCAAGCAGGCCCTAAGGAGTTTTGCGTTTTCAAGGAGATAGTGTTGTAGTCCTCCAAATATTTGACATCTTTTGCTCTTAATCTTGGATCTGCCCTGAGGTTGCCTTACTTGCCCTTGCAGTCTTGCTAGCTAGAAGCAGCGGGTTGATCATCATCCAGCCTTTGTAAACGATGCACTCAACCCTACACAGAAGACCCAACATTGTCAAGCTGAACAAAAAGATAATCGAATATGGAAAAAGGGGCCAAATCGAAGAGGCCATCAGAGTGTTCAGGGAAATAACTCACCCCAACACCTTCACCTACAACTCCATGATTTCTTCATATGCGAAAAATGGCAGATTAAAGCACGCCCGTCTTCTGTTTGATAATATGCCGAACAGGAACTTGGTTTCTTGGAACACATTACTCAATGGGTACATTTACAATGACCGGATTGAGTGTGCCTGTGAGCTGTTCGAGAGAATGCCTCAGCGGGACCATTTCACATATGCATTGATGATAACTTGCTATTCGCGTTATGGAGCGATTGATAAGGCAATGGACATTTTTTATCGACTTCCTGATACGACCAACGTTGCTTGTTGGAATGCAATGATTACAGGTTTTGTGAAGAACGGGAGGTTGAGTGAAGCGAAGAAATTGTTCGATAGGATGCCTGTTAGGAATTTAGTTTCATGGAATTCAATGCTTTTGGGTTATACTCACAATGGGGAAATGGAAATGGGGTTGAAGTTTTTCAATGAGATGGGCGAGAAGGATGTTGTTTCATGGAACCTACTGGTGGGTGGATTTGTTGAGGTGGGTGACTTGGATTCTGCACGGGAGTTCTTTGAAAAGATTCCTTGTCCAAATGCTGTTTCATGGGTCACGATGTTGAGTGGATATGCGCATTATGGTTATATATCGGATGCTCGGAGGGTATTTGAGAAAATGACAGGAAAAAATTTGGTTGCATGGAATGCAATGCTGGCTGCCTATGTCCAGAATGGGCATATTGATGATGCTTGCATTTTTTTTAATGAAATGCCAGAGAGAAATGCAGTTTCTTATACTACCATGATTAATGGGTTTGTGCGCATAGGAAAGCTTGACACAGCAAATAGATTGTTAGATACTATGCAATGCAAAAATGTGTGTGCTCAAACAGCGATGATTTCAGGATATATACAACATAACATGATAGATGAAGGTCGTAAAATCTTTGATCAGATGAGCTCTCGAGACATTGCTTGTTGGAACACAATGCTTGCAGGCTACACTCAATGTGGGATGATGGAAAAAGCTTTCCATCTATTTCAGAAGATGGATCAAAAGAGTGTTGTTATTTGGAACACCATGATTGCTGGGTATGCTCAAGTGGGAAAGATAGAAAAGGCTTTAGAGATGTTAGAGAACATGAAGGAAAGGAATGTTGTTTCTTGGAACTCTCTAATTTCAGGTTGTACACGAAATGGTTTGTATGTAGATGCTCTCAAGTTGTTTGTTTCAATGGAACACGACGGCAAGAAACCGGATCAGTCTACATTTTCTTTGGTATTAAGTTCATGCGCTAATCTTTCTCTTGAATATCTTGGGAGGCAATTTCACCAAGCAATCATGAGAAGTGGGTTTACAAAATACTTATCCATTTCTAATGCCTTAATTACAATGTATGCAAAATGTGGACACATCTTTAATGCGAAAAAGGTGTTCCATGATCTTGACTATGCAGATGTCGTGTCTTGGAATTCTTTGATTGCTGGCTATGCTTTAAACGGATGTGGAAAAGAAGCAGTCAAACTTTTCCAGGATATGGAAAGTAAGGGGATGAATCCCGATGAAGTAACATTTGTTGGACTTCTATCTGCGTGTAATCATGCCGGCTTAATTGATTTTGGTGTACATTTATTTGACTCCATGAGTAAAAAGTATTCTATCGAGCCAGTGACTGAACATTTTGCTTGCATGATTCACATGCTTGGTCGAGCAGGCAGGTTAAAAGAAGCCTTTCAGTTGGTTAGAAAAATGAGAGTGAAAATCACCCCAGGAATATGGGCCTCTATACTGTGGGCTTGCCAAATGCATAACAATTTGGAGCTTGCTAGCTTTTCTTTTAAGAAGCTCAATAAAATTGAACCTCATAAAGCTTCAAGTTTGGTGGCTGTTGCAAACATGTATGCTGAGATAGGAAGTTGGAATGAGGCGGAACATGTTAGGTCAACAATGATAGATAATAGAGGAGAGAAACAACCAGGGTGTAGTTGGTTTGAAGAAAAAAGTAAGTTAATTGTGTTTCTTGCACATGATGACTCGAGTGCACAAAAAATGGAGATTCGCAATGCATTAAAGAGCTTAACTTCACAGATGATGGATACAGCTTCTCTTCATCTTGGTTAATCGTATGTTCTCGATACAGGCTGGTTGATCTCCTCTTGATTAAAAACATTTCGAAAGCTCAATGATTAGTCCTTAGTTTCTATTTTTCTACAGTCAAGTACTCAAGTGTTCTCTCTAGAAGGCAAAAACAATTGACATATGAAGAAAGTGAAATACTATGTGTGATGATGCCTATTTTTTGTTTGTGCTTATAGCATTCTTCCATTGCATTGGAATATGAGGACATCCTTCTGCATCTTAGCAGTATAAAATCAAAGGCCATGTGGATTAAACAGGAATTTGCTCGTTGAAGAGATTTGAGCTTCAAATTGTCCAGGATCTTCCGCCGTATCACTTGGATACCATTGTAGAAGTTTCAGACAGCTGTGCTCAAATCTAGACAATCCCACATCTTTGAAAATGGTGCTCCATGACATTGAGGGACTATTTATATTCTATAATGTGGTAACATACAGACCATGGAGTTATTCAAAATTTGAGCGTCTAATTTCGAGCTCACTAACACTAGCGGCCTACACAGGTATATGAACGTTTATATATTCCTCAACAACCTAATGAAGCATTTTGAGATGTTGTAGCTTTGGCATGAGGTCAATCTTTATGAAGGATAGGTTACAATATGTCAATGAGTATTGACTTGCTATTTTTATTGACTTGCTATTGAACATTATTGTTTCTGGAGTGTTGTTGTTGCTATTGAGCATTATTGTTTCTAGATTTCAGCTGATCACTAACATGCTAATGAAAACTACTCCGGGGTACTTTATAAGTTGCACATTAGCTTCATGATGTGATTTTGGGATGCAGAGTCATCATCCTAGCTGATTTCTTATTGATTCCTTCATCAGTCTCTATGTTTTTTATTCTTTGGTAATGGGAGAAAATCTTAATATCTGCTTTATCTTCTACTTATATTTATATCAAGACAAGATGTCTAATACTATGTGTTTCAACCTTGTAGTGGCCTGTTATCTTGCAAAGCCACCATACTAGCTGATATATGACAAGGTAATAAAAGCTTTTGGGTTACTGAACATTGACAAGGCAATAAAAGCTTTTGCTCACGCTTGATATTTGCTTTTGCGCAGCCAAAATCTTCGAGCTTCTATATTAGATCAAACAACCAAATTCTGAGCTGGAGATAGAAATAAGCAATGTTGTTTAAAGCGAGAGGTCAAATTCCGAAGAAGAAGATTGTGGTTCAGTTTGTGAGACAATGGCCGATGATAATTTTGAAGATGAGATGCCACATTAGAAGGAAATAATAAAAGCGAAGAATAATAAGGTATGTAATGATGAATTCATTCGTGCTTTCAAAATACTACAAATTCTTCCATTGTTGGATTAATTTTAGAGAAGAATGGTCATAGAGTGAAAAATTGCACCATGGATTTAGATTTGACCATGAGATTTCCTATGCATGTGTAAATACGTTTGAATCAAAGCTATGTTTTGTATGTTTAGATGTATGTGCTAACGTTAGAGTCATAATGCGACATTCCATGAAATGAAGCTATATTTTGTATGTTTTAGATGTTTGTGCTAACGTTAGGGTCATATTGTGGCATTGCATGAATCAAAGCTATATTTTGTATGTTTAGATGTATGCGTTAACGTTAGAGTCATATTGTGGCATGACAGTTTTATTTTGTATGTTTAGATGCATGTGTTAACTTTAGTATCATATTGTGGCATTGTGAACAAGATCCTTAAAATAAAGTAGTGAAACATATAGCCCTGCACCACTTTAAAAGGTTTTCAGTAGGGTTTAAGATGTAGTTAACTAGTGGTGTATAAGGTGGCACTATGAACATGTTTGGTTTTCATTTTCTTCTATGCATTAAATATTCTATGTACTGAGTATTTGGGAATGTGAATAGACAGATTTATTTTCCACTTATTGTGAAAATATGCGTTTCAAATTCAATAGTTTTAATGAGTACTTGCGGACATTTGGTATTATATGATTTGAATGTAGTATTAGATGCATGTGTACATGTGAGAAGAGTTTAGAAAAAATGTTCACGTGTCACTATGAGGCTAATTATTTTCCATACTTGTGTTTCATTTGGCCTTATGCATTGAGTGGTATAGACTTGTGTTACCTATGGCATCCACATAATTAGGAAGTATACAAAGAACTCTAAATTGGATTTACGTGTTACATGGTTGCATAATCGTGATAATGCCTAAAAAGGTAATTGCATAGTGCATGATTTTTAGAATATATGTAATGTACAGGTAAATAGAAAGTTTGTTAAGAAGGATCTACAACCTAAGGACGGGAGAGTGAACAACTATTGTAGTGTGAATGAAACCATTTGTAGAGTGAAAAGTGTGTTAGCAGAGAAAAATATTGAGGTAATATACATATATTATGAAATTAATTGTACTATGTTTTTTTTTAGAATACTAACTTTATGTGTATAATTTTCTGTTTTTCACAGTTTGAGGTAACATAAATCATTCCTATTGCGAAGGAGCTTCAGGATCATTGTGTGGTGTAAATGAACATGTGGTGATGGCTGCGTCCAACAGATCAAAGACCATTGCTCGTACCACACAAAAAGGTGGCACTGGTGTCAACATTCAAGGCCATCTATAGCAAGAAAGTTGTCACTAGGAAGCTCAAATAAGAAGAAAGGAGTATCACCTAAAAAAATGAAACAAAAAAGTGGAGTGATGAAGCACTATATATGTCTCCAAATGAAGGGCTCAATGCCAAGGAGAGGAAGCATTCCTAGAAATGAAAAGTATCGTAAAGGTAAGTATACTGCCATTGAAATGAAATCGGAGAAATTTAAAAGCTGCAAAGTAGAACATGGTCAGATACTTAAGAAGTTGAGAAGTTGGATAGTCATGTGAAAGAGGGCATACATATTGGGTTATCGGGTGAAAGTTTGAACATATTCTCCCGAATGAAAGATGCAGAGATGCTTGCTCAGGTGGGTGTTGGATCCAAAAACTTTCTTGAATCGAAATGCAATGATAAAGAGGTATGTGTAATGTAATTTCTCATTATTTTTAGGAAATTTGAACATTATAACCGCTAGTTGCAAAAATATACATGTGCAAATTGGTAAAAATGAAGAGAGTAAAGAAATAAATGGATAAGTGATGTGGATGCTGTGATGGCAGATGAAGTTGGGGTCAATCATGTAGAAGCTACATTTACAGAATGTCCCAAAATGGTGAACCATGACACTGAAAATGATGAAAGAGGAATTACGTTGAGTAAACTTGTTTGTACAATATTTATGAATTGTTTTAGCACACATGTAGTAAACTTGTCTAAACAACATATAAAAGTCTAGGAATTAACAGCCAAAGTTTCGAATTTGGCAAACAATGTCTCTTGTGTGCAGCTCTGTAGACCAAGAAGAACAACTACGGAGCATAATTAGACCTGACAAAACATAACTGAAATCGATTACCCGAACTGAATGATCCGAAATTGAAATTGAAATGACCCAAAAAGTGAAGATTGAATTTATAACTGAATTACTAAAATGATCAGAATCGAATCAAAACCAAACTAAATATATCCATACCTGATTAAATCGGAAATCGATTAGAGTCGAAACCGATTAGATTCGAAACCGATAAGACCTGAAATCGATAAGACCCGAAACTGATAAAATTCGAAATCGGTTATATCCGAAGTTGATCCTGCATGACAATAAACATAATATATTTATGTACATTAAAGAAAAATTGCATTCCCGTGATTTCAAATTTTTTACTTTTAGTTTATCATTTGAACTAGTTATATACTTCTATTACTTACTCGTTGCGTTTGAAAATGAATTGTCATATCTAAAGTTTCTAAACAAAGTGAAAAAAATCATATCTTTTAAATTTATTTTATGTATAAATTGGTATAAAAATGAACAATAAAAACATAAAAAAATTTAGTTAAAATCTATACAAACTAAAACACGGTTAAAAAGATATTTTTTTCACCCCCCTCTCAATATTGTGTGGTTGGCCAAACATGTACTTTGAATTGCATTTAATTTCACTCAAATTTCACCTAATCACATTCAATTTCTCACAATTTCAAAATATTTTAACCAAATTGTATGTAAATTGGCAATCCAATTATATTAATTTATATCAGAACTAAATATATTTTTTCATAATTTGTAATCTAAATTTATAAAATAAGACTAAAAGATAAAAACAGAAGATATTTGGGATGGAGAGAGTATCATCAATTCATCACCTCGGTCCACATTTAAACTTCTCACTTACCTTTTTCATCCGTCTACAAAAAAACTTCTCGTTTCTATTTTAGGAAAGTTTTTGTAATTGAAATGTCCCTTACCCTTATTCCTCTTCTTCCTTTATTCTTTCTCTTTCTTCTTTCATCTACAATTTTTTTTGTTTCTTCTTGGTTTTTTTGTTTCTTTCTTTTTCTTCTTTCTTATTCATTCTTTTTCTTTTTCTTCTTTCTTCTTTCGTTTCTTCTTAGTTCTTCTTCTATCAACTAGAATAAGAAAAAAATTCTCAGATTGCGGGTTGCTTCTTCGCCGAATCTAGATTTGCAGTGAATTTTTTTTTCAATTTTTTCCAAATCTGTGGTGGGATGTTGATTTTCCTCAACGAGAAGTCTAAAAATAGATCTTCGCGATAAAGGGGGTTGCGATAGTAAGGGATGTAGGTTTGCAACAGCAGGGGGGATGCGGGTTGCGACGGCGAGAGGATGCCGGGGGCTGCGATTCCAGGGGCTTGTGACGTCGGGGCACTGCGATGGCGGGGGCTTGCAACGGCGGGGGTTGTGGAAGCATCATCAGTGGTGGGGCCAAAGCGTCGGCGGTGGTGGTGTGTAAGGGTTAGCGTCGGCGTCGACAGTGATAGATGGCGTCATAGATGCTAGTGGGGGTGGACAGTGTAGAAAGGCTGAGGGGCATAATGGAAAAGTCAATACAATTTTCATTCCACATAAATTTGCGCATCGAGTCAAAGGGGAAGTTTAATTTTGGACGGAGGGAGTATGAGGTAATGAATTGATGATAAATTGATAAATGCGATATAACAAACAAATGAGCATGTAGTTTTACCGAAACGTATAATATAACATCTTGTTCCCCGGCACATAACGGTAGCAATAAGCGCATAAAGTTTCTCCAAATTGAAGTGTCTATAAGAACATTTCTACTGTAGCCCTTGTATATCAAAATAGGTTGGTTGAGAGGAGATAAATGAAGACTGTACAGTGACTATTTTTGAGACCGACCATTTTTATTTCTCCGAACGGGGACAGAAGTGCGAAAAGAGTTGTTTCACCTCTCTCTATTCCAGTTTTCTCCATCTTTTTCTTTTGCATTCCTATCCAAACAAGCAAGATAAGTTCAACCTCACTGGCAAAATAAATGAAAACAAATACTAGTAATAATATCGCGGTTATTGCAAAATATTTTTTAGGTTTACATACCTGCAAAGAGAGGAAGGTGCTGTGTGATGCAGCTCACATGCTTCTGATCATAAGGTGGACACCTTTGGTTTTACAAGATATGGAAGTGAGATCTCGGCGGGTGAGGAGTCAGGATTCATCTCTCCAAATGGTATTTCAAAGGCGAGGGATTGATATAAGCAAACATCATCATCTTTACAGTAGTAGACCTGAAAAAAATTTTGAGCTTCAGCTAATTGTCAAGTAACTTGGGGTCGGCTACATGAACTAAGAGAAGGATCACATTCAGTAATTCGCTAAAACAACCCAGTAAAGGAGGGTTTCCGTAGGCTTGAGGCAGCCAGTTGCCATAAAGATTATACTCTGAAGATATATTCTTAAAACATACTCCCTCTGTCCCGATTTAGTTGTTCAATGAGGCATCAAAAGAGAGGATCTATGAGCTATGTTGGTTTGTGTATTAGCAAATCTTCTTTCCAAGGGCAAAGAAGGGAGACACTGGCTAGCTTTGCGCTTGACGCACACAAGATTATTCTTCAAAGGGCATGTACTATTCGAAACTGATGACGCTAATATAGCTAATACAAGATTCCTAATCATCAAAGGAAAGAGAGCTAATATAATACAGCTCTTGTAAGGAAAAAAATCAAGGGAATGGGAGTTTATTTGCAAGTGGTCAACCAGTTAGATTCAAAATGGCCCGGTTGTCCACTTGAGGGGGAGTGTTAGAGTGTCATCCCACATCGGAAAATCAAGAGCAAAATAATCAGTATAAGCTCTTGAGTTGAACTAACTAATAGATTGGATTCAATCTTTTAATGTGGTTCAACCCAAGTGTCTTGTTACCCAATCCAGTTGTCCTTACCCCATCCTAAATTCTATCACATGGTAAATTAGAAATAGGTGATTACCTTGCAATTGATTCTTGCCGTGGAAGGAGAACTCGAAGATCTTCTAACATATGCATCCGCAGAACCTTTTGTGCTGAGAAATCCATCCATAGGATCAATTAGAGCTGCATCATCCGGTTCCACTTCAATGCTAAACTTGCTTTGTGCTTCCTACAATTGGAAAGTTGGAAGAAAAGGGGGGGAGGGGGGGGGGACAATCAACTACAGCCCTTCATCTTTAGTGAAGGAAGTTAGTAGGAAGAGAGGGAGAGCAATGTGACAGAACCTTTGAGAAATGGTAACCTTTGGGAACAGAAATTTGAAGATGTAACAGAGCTTCCTTTGATGAATAACTCCCATCAACAACAATGGTCTGTGTGTCAGCTCCAGATCGTCTCCTAAGTCTCTTCAAAGATCGGGATTTAGTTGCAGGAGGCAGGACTCCATTCAATGATAGGGTATGAAGTTCAGCATTTCTAACATTCAGGTCTATATATCTGATAAGGTTGTTGTTTGTATCTGCTATGAATAATCTTCCTGGATAAAATCATTGAACCATAAAATACAGGATGTGTTTTTTTATTTTTATTTAAATTAGTAGTGAGTGTAACCACATGAAAGTGATACCGTTTTCTGCTTGAGCAATTCCAGCTGGTTCTGAGAGCTGCAAAATAACAATAACAATAATAATAATAATAATACAACAACAACAGTAATAATAACAATAATAGTAATAATATAAGTAGTAATAATAAATGAATTAACTGGCATCTCAATTCTCAAATATATCTACTTTAACCCAAGAGAACATGTCTTATTTGGGATATGCAGACACAATGATCCACCTTTAGTCTTACTTCATCTAGAAGAGTAAATAAAATAGGGTCGATCACCACACAAGAACCTTTTTTACTTTATGGTGTATTATCTGAATTACTCTTACCATCTTTATTCAGTTGCAATAATAGAAATACTGTATACAGACTACTGTTCTAGTGTATTCATTGAGGTGGACTGTTCACAGCCATAGGTGAACATTTGACCATTTTATCTAACAAAAAAATTATAAAATGAGATCATTTTTCGTATTATTATAGAATGCAATTCTTATTTACATAATGATCAATGTTTGTCCAATTTGACTGAAAAAAGTCGGAGACAGAAGGAGAATGGTTTATGATATATCTTTGATGGTTCATTACAGTCCTGTATAACACTCTGAACCACACAACACAACAGGGTACCCCAAAAAACCAAGATGTCTAACAGAACAAGAGACCACGGTCACCCTATAACTTTGCGACTCAAGTAAATGATATGTTCATTAAATTGACTTATTTTTCAGACATCTAAATTCGAAGCTTGTGATAATAAATGCATATATACATCTACAGATGAAAACAATGGGATAATAATATTTTTACAACCTGAGATGTTGAAGATGCTCCGTCCTTTAAACCAGCATGACCAGTGCCTGCTATTGTGCTCACCGCTCTACTAACTGGATCTAGCTTCTTAATCTGACAAATAAATATCCCAGTCAAGTAAAATATTGAATATGACTTCTGGTTACATGTTAGAGTTAACAAATTATATCCCCCAGATGAAAGGTTGTTCTTTAAGCTTGATACAACCGTAACTGGTAGTAAGTAGATATCTATTTGTTCAATGGAAGCTTGACGGTGGCTTGAAAAGAATCATATATTTGATACTTTGAAATCTGAGACATGTGATTACATGAACATTTCATGCGATCATGTGAGAAATTTTATTTTTCATGCATGTACACCTTCCGTCGCATAAAAAAGGTTCCATACTTCATTTTTTTGTTTGTACAAAAAAAGGCCCCTCTTTCCCTTGAGGAAGTGTATGGTTTTTCCTTAAGGTTCTATAAAAAACGTTCCGTACTTCAATTTTTTGTTTGAGGAAGAGACCAGGGTACCAACCACGTTTTCCCTTATTGATAATCGTGCTCCGTCAATTGTGAAACCTTATTTCGGGACCGAAGGAGTATAATTTCTTTATGTCCATAATAGCATAAATATTTCTGGATTTTCCACGACCTGATCTCTTCTGGCACTCTGGTCTGAAACTTTCTGCTTTGGTCAGATCTTATCAAACTGTTTCTGGCTTACTATATATGGTAGTCTGGTCTCACACTCAAAATTTTGTCAATATAACACCTAGTCTGGTCTGGATCTTCTCGTCTAGTCTAATCTGGATGTTTCTAGTCCGTTCTGGTCTCATTATTTCTGATCCGGTTTGATTATAATATAAGTATGAATAAGAATAAGAAAAAGAATTAGACAGGTTGTGGTGATGATTATAATGGCAATTATGATATAACATGAAAATAAATACATTTGTAACTACACCATGAACAAGAAACAAAGAGAATGGCATCATGGATTTCTCTGAGTCATGATCTTCAGAACTGCATGAGCTACTGCCTGCCTGTAAAAGAGATTTTATACTTAAAGGTAGTAATTACCTTATGATTATAAGAGTCTGCTATATAAATTTGGCCATCTTCACCACATAAAACACCTAATGGGTGTTGAAGAAGTGCGCCAGAACCTATTCCATCAATATCTCCAAACTGCAAGTTTAAACTAATACATTAAAGAGATTTGTCGTATGACTATTTTGGAAAAGAACAAGTGATTGAAAAACAAATCATGTTCTCTTGACTGATCATAGAAATACCCTAAACAAGTTGTCCGAGAAATTTGGGTCCCCGCCAGCAAGCAATCGTGAACCTCCTGTCCTTAGATTAACTGCTCGAATGGAGCTACTCTCACTATCAGCAACATATGCCTCCTTTCGGTCTATAAAATACCACAGCATGATAGAAATATATGACTAGATAAAAGTAGAAATTTTAAATAGTTTATGAAAACTATAACCCTAATTTATTTCAAAGTATTACCGGATGATAATGAAATCCCAGAAGGCTGTGCAAATGATGTGTTTCTGGAGCTGAACTAATGAATTGAAAGGGCAGAGGGTGTTAGCTTCTGAGTAGATATTATAATTTATAACTAAGTATAGCAAATGTGCAGCACACATTTTGGTGCAAATAACGACTTGAATCAGCACAGAATAATTTGAATCAGCACTTAAAAGTTGCAATCTACATAAAACTTTCGTTTTGGCAGTATTTCACAGACTGCAGTTGTAAGGAAAACAGTAGAGATGATCAAAGAGCAGGAATTTTACTGGGAACCCTTGTACCAAAAAACTGATGGGCTGAAGTGCTAAACAGTCCAGGTAAACAGCCAATCTAACTTCTAACATAATATGATAAAATGCTCAAGACTAAACATTATTTAAATTACTTCCATCGATCTGTTAATGCATGGGTCCTGATCATCATGCTATACTGATTGTAGGGGCCAGGGCAGATTTGGAAAGAAGATGCAAGATCCATTTTATGATAAGGTAGGCATATCGTAGGAGTTGAGTGTCCAAGGACAAAAGATGGGCAGGTCCAACCCTTGTAGAGAGACGCTGGGCAGCTGTTTGGGCTGAAGTCCAGTCATGGCACGGGGCGGTACAAAAGCAAGGTGTATCCCAGTACTAAGAAATATACATCACAATCCTATAACACGTGTAATTATTTGGTAGTAGTGCCCTTCTAGCTGAGTAGCACTAAGTAAATGACATAGTGTGCTACCATCACCCATACCAATCAATATGATACTCAGAAGCTCTTTAGCATAAAATCATTAATGACAACAAAATAAAGTCAAAAGACATTCCATGGAAAGAAAATAAAATTAATATAATTATGTTACTCTAAAATCACCATGATGTGTGGTATTCTGAAACAAAAACATGTACTTATGAACATACATCACCTTGTCCCATTTAAATTTCTCTCGTAACCATCACCACTGAAAGCTTTTGTTGTGCCATCTAATGTATAATGCTCCCAGATCTGATGCAGGCCAGCCATTGCAATGTATACAATCTCACTCTCAGGTTCAAAGGATACATCCCATGGAGAATTAAGAACCTAAAAATAAAGACCGGGAACACAACTTTTTAGATAAACACCAATTCAGTAAACCTCTCATAAAAAAATTTCATCCAAAGATGCATGCAGTAATAAACTACATCATCATGATGTACTCAAATCCACGGGATTAAATATTTTAATATATATATCATTGATATTAAAAATTGTAAAAATCTTGCCTGAGTAGTTCCTGCTCCTCCCCCTTCATAATCAGAACCTTTTGTTCCATTCCCGGCAAGGGTCCTTACTGTCTCATTTACAAAATCAATGACTCTGCTTACAAGAAAAGTTGCAAGTACATTTATGAAGATTACTTCAAATTTTATAGACAATGCAAAATAATAAATGTCTATGAAGGAAAATAAAATAAAGACCAGTAAATAGCACAAAATGCAAAAGGAAAACAAAAAGAAAAACAAAGGGTAAAATAAAGTATATACATTTTTTAAAGAAGTATTTACTTTTTGAAGTCATATTATGTGTGAAAAAGAACGCCAAATACTTTTTTAAGGTAGTAATAACAGTGACAGGTAATGCATTGAAGAGGTTAGCTTAGTGGTCTTAACTCTCAACCAGAGACTAAAAAAATCCTCAGTCCCAGAAAAACCAACATTTTTACTATATCTAAATGATCACATTCAACAACACTAAGCCTTTGTTTGGATTGGGAGAGAAAATGAAAGGAAAGAAAATGAAAGGAAAGAAAATAAAGAGAAGAGAAAATGAAGAGAAAAGTGAAAGAAAATATTTGTTGTTTGGATGTGTAGAAAATGAGAGGAAAAGTGGGAGAAAGGAAAATACAATAAAATGAAAAAGACAACTTTGGACTGTGAAGAATAGAGGAGGCACCAATTATTGATTAGGGTTAAAGGGCAAATGTGTAATTCAATTAATTTTCTCTCCATTGTGGAGTTTTCTCGCCTAGGAGGGGAAGAAAATTTTTCATCTTCCCTCCCCACTTTTTTTCTTTCCTCCCTCAATTTTCTATTGCAACCAAACAAGAAAAAATGCATCGTAAATTGTGTTTTCTCTCCATCTCTTTTCTTTCCTTCCAACTTCTCTCCATCCAAACGGAGGGTAAAACATCATTGCCCATTACAACAACAACAACAACCCAGTTGGATCCCACACATTGCCCATTATTACCTATAAATTATAATCAAGGTAGTCAAAATAGTAAGCCGCAATCAAGGCGCAAAAGTCCTATAACGTTGAGATGTAAGGCACAAAAAGGCGCACACCTAACTCATGCAAGACACAATTTTGAAAATAATCTATACTATTATAGAATTATCAACAACAATAACAATTAGCAAACCCAATAATATCGGAACTCTATTGTGTTCTATGCAAAATTTTATAGTAAAGAGCACATGTGGTTTAATGTGGCATTTTGATTAGTCCATTATTTACCCAAAGCTAAAACAGTAAAACATTGTCAATAATGACACTTTTAACTAGTGATCTACTAAAATGCTAGTAACATAAATTCTCTATGTAACAAAATAAAATTTCCTAGGCAGCATTACCTCAATGCATGATTCTCAGTATCTGCAACATAAAGAAGGTTTTTCTTTGCATTGTAAGACAAACCCTGTGGTCGATTGAAAGTCGCCTCATCAAAACTACCATCGCGAAGACCCTCTTCCCCTGTGCTACCAACTTGAGAAATATAGTTCCCTTCAAAGTCAGTAACGACCTGTGTTATAGACATAAAAGAAACAGTTTGCCACCAAGATTAGGTAGTCCCACTCACAGATTAAGCAGACATTAAGTAAATAAACTGAGATGGGCTAACATGATAATAAAAAACATTAGAGTTATTAGTTATACTATGATATATATCGACCTGGTATATATGTAAAATGGGCTAAAGTTGCTAACGCTAAACATAGCAGAAACTCAACATTCTCCTGGAGGTCAATCTCGTAAGCATTGCCATTAACCTTTGTTAGGACTTCAAACAGACCATCGGCTTGGGGCAGCAACGCAGCTTTGCATTTGGTGGGAAAACGCTCTTTGCAAAGGTGTACCCATACAAGATAAGATCTCTGGGTTGGAAATAGACACTTTTTCTTGCTTTGTTAATGTGTGTGCTACTGCACTCACACGCTCATTTTCATTGCTGATCTTCTCTTGAATGTTGTTGTGAAGATCTAGTTCTTTGGATCAGTTTTCTCCTTCCAAACTTGATTTTGTTTGGATTGAGATAGGTTCAAAGTCCAAAGGCGTGAACAAGTTCAAACCATACACAGTAATGAACGTTGAACATCTAGTGGTTTTGCTTAGGGTCATGTTGTATGCAAATTCAGCATGTGGTAGTAAGTCTTCACAATGCTGGATATTCTTGTTGACTGAGAGTCTGAGACCAATAGAAAAGTCCCTAGAGCTGGATTGGTCACTTCCCCTGGACCATCTTTTTTCTGGTAACTCAAAGTGCTCAAGTTCATATGCCTAAGAAACTTGATATCTCGATTAAAAAAACCATGCTCCTTGGAACATCATGAAGCTTAAAAATATCCCCGGAATATACCCTTTACATTAGTAATTTGTGAAGTATCATAAATACCATCTTTGAGAAGCGATCAACCACAACCATAATAGAATCTTTCATGCGTTGAGGTAGTCAATGGTGAACCAGTAATAAAATCAAGGTCTAGATCCTCTAATGGGCAGCGAGGTACATGGAGAGGAACCTTGGGTTAAAGTGGCATGTCCCACAACTCTCCATCAAGTGATGTTCATCCTATCCTAATAAGTATCCTTAAGTTGGTTACATAAAAGTATGTATTGGGAGTCTCTTTTTACAATTAAGTTGTGATAATTTTCGTGTAAAGTAGATAACAAGTCGTAAAGTGAGTTAAGAGTGTAAATCTCTTAAACCAATTTATTTTCGTTTATCCTATCCTCCCTTTTCTTCCATATTTCCATCATCTCCCCTTTCCATACCATAGTTATCTTCTTTATATACATGTATAATTCTAGGCCAAGATATATCATTTGGTATCAAAGCCAGATGTTACGTATCCCTAAACGCTTTCCCTCCATAAAATCCTCTCAAACTCTATTTCCTATAAAATACTACATGTTCAATCCGTGAACTAACCTATTTGAAAAAAAAATTGCTTCAAATAAGCTCAAGAAGGCCTAATAGTCGTTCCTTAGCTCAAGGTCTACAAATGCCTCTCCATTTACCTCATTGCGAATGCGAGGACATAGCCTTGATTTTATTACCAGTCTACCAAAGGACTCAACACAACAAAGACTTTATTATGGTTTTCAAGGAGCAACGTTTCATATCAAGATATTAAGTTTTATATCCTTATTTGGCTAAGTCTATGGCACAGAATGCAAACCAAATTGAACTTTAGTACTTCAAGTCACCTACAGGTCAAACGGAAGTGACCAATCGAACTCTAGGGCCAGTTATATGGGTCCTAGACCTAGTCAACAAGAGCATCTGATATTGGGAAGACATACTACGATACACTGAATTTGCATACAATAGGAATTGAGCAAACTCGCTTGATGTTTGCTTTACATGATTATCTATATTTCAAACCTGCTCACACTTGAGTTGAACTTATCACAGCCCAAACAAAATGCAGTTGGGAATGATAAAAGCAAGACATGAAAATTTATGATTGTCACAACAACATTCTAAAGAAGCATGAGAAAGAAAATGAAAGTGTAAGTGCATGCATCAATAAAGAAAGAAAAAGCATCCATTTGCAACTCAGAGATCTTGTATGGACACACCATCACAAAGTGCATTTTCAAACCAAACGTAAGTCTTAGCTAATATCCGAGCCGGTGGTTCGTTTGAAGTCCTAGCAAAGGTCAATGATAATGCTTACAAGATTTACCTTATGGAGTTTCTGCTACATTTTAACATTTGCAACCTTAGCATGTACTATAAATCAGACGATCTTTTTGAATTCGAGGTCAAACTCTACTAAAAAATGCCTCGGAGAAAGAAGTCTCGGGTAATCCTAGACAGACTGAGTTCATGCCCCTTGTACCCCTTAAGTAATACGGAGTATGTCTTAAGCATTTACCATTCAACATCTGGTTCTCTCTTTTATTTGGGAGGGGAGAGCCTAAAGCCTAAGAAAGAGTATGGCAAGCCAAGATACACACATACGAGAGGGAGAGAGAGAGAGAGAGAGAGCATACTATTCTGTTGTGGTTGCTGTCTGAAATGAAAAGCCGATTGTTGAGGACGTCAACTGCCAGTTTACCTGGGAATTTTAAAGGGGATGCTAAAAAGCGAGGATCATTGTCTCTCTCCAATTTCAATGGAATGGGGCTACCATTCAATAGCTTTTTTCTACCATAAAACAGAAGTGCCGCCTCAACTAAGTCATCCAGGTCCTTGGTAGAAGCCAATAAATATAATTCAGTGACTAGCTATTAATATTATTATTGATAGCATGCCAGTAAATAATAAAGAAGAAGAACAACTTATCAAGATATAAAGAACCTCATTTCTAAAATCACTAAAGAATGAGCTTTAATACTCACTTCATCCCAAAAAGGTATGGTATATTCACTCTTGACATGGTTCTTAATGAAAAGAAGTACAATGCATTCAATTTACCAAATTTTACCTCAAGTGGAACCAATTGTGTGATTTGTGTCTAACCATTTCGGAAAAGCGCAAAGAGTAAATTAGGAGGTTAATGAGATTTACAAAATGAATACAACACATTTCTTTTTTATTGTTTTGTATTATCCGAATAATTTACTCGTTTATATACTACTTGAAAACTTGTTTGGTTGTGTTTTTTGTTACAATACGGTTACAGAGTATTTAACTCTAATACATTTTTTGTGATTGAATTAGAGACCCGTATTTCGAGATTTAGTTGTTTAATTTTGCTTCATGTAGTGACCATAGTTGTTAAGGCGCCGCTTAGGCAAAGCTTAGGCGATAAGGCGGCAAGGCACTATCCCTTGGACGCCTTTACTCTTCGCCTCGCCCAAGAAAACCTCTAGGCATTAAGGCGCTTGCCTAGGCATCGCCTTACTGTCGCCTTACCTTCGCCTCACGCCTAGGCGTCGCCTTATTGTCTACTCACAGTAAGTTCAATTTTTTTTTTCAAATTTTATATTTCATTCTTCAAGTCTATTTGTTATCCATTTATAATAATATTTTAATTGCATATGGTGTTCCTTGTTTCTATTTGGGGTTATATTATGTTTAACTTATTCATATAAAGTATATATAAAGAGTATGTTTATATTACACACACACACACACATATATAGGTTGCCTAGGCATGCGCCTAATCACCTAGGCGATATGAAGGTATATGGGTGCCTTGCCTCGCCTTGGCGCCTTAAGAACCCTGGTAAAGATTCTATAAATGTACCACATGAAAATGGGTCATCACCACATTTATCACCATGCCAATTATGGTCACTCTGTTCTTGGCTTCAGATTAATTTGGTCATGCAATTATTGGAGGCATTTTACTAGGAAGAGTAGAGTAGATATCTGAAGACTGATTATATACCTCTCTATGACCTTCACCAGCTACTTGTGCAAGAAGCTTTCCATTTGGCCCAATGACTGCAAAGGTGGGCCACGAATTTATACCTAGTTCTCTCCATAAAACCATCTCTCCATCATTAACAACCTAGATATGCAAAGGGACCACAAACTTAATGTGTAAAGGGGCGGGTATAAGTTAATACAAAACGTAACATGAAATAAGAATAGAAAGCGTACTTACTGGGTGAGTGATTTCATAGCGCAACACTGCATTGCGAATTGCTTCTAGATCTTTCTCATTGTCAAACTTTGCTGAATGCACTCCCACGACAACAAACTGAAAGAGTGCCATTTATGAAGCATCTATTTGGCTCAATCATTTATTGTCAAAAGTAAAGAGGCAAAAAAAAAGCATTTGGATATAGTTGATAAATGTATGCTGAATATTTTCCCCATCCAGAGCCTACACAAAATAATACTAATTTTTCCCCTCATTTTTTCCTTCTTAAGCAACCACAATATTCAAGTCTAAATAACAAACCGTGTGATAGAGGGTGAGGCTATGAACCAAAAGATTCCTCTGAACCACAACTTGCAGCAATTGATAAGTGAAAATTTGACCAGGACTAATTATGTACAATAAACCTAATCGCAACAATGTAAAATGTAATCAGGAAAGTGCTCGACTTGACAACATCTTCACTAGTTAATTTTCCTAGGTTACCCCACCCCCCAAAACAAAATACAGATATAAAATTTTCTTATAAACATAAAAAATGTGCATACTTGCCTATTTGGTGCCCTCAAGACTATCTTTCCAACACAATATTCAAGTTCTTTTCCAAATAAATGCAGATCGAATACAGTGTGCATTGGTCCTTACTCTTTCGGGTGCATTCCCTTTTCCTTCTTGGATGTAAAATTCTTATCATTACACACAAAATTACATATTCACACCTAATGATGCAAAAACTAATTGGACCCATCACCATCAAGAAATAACCCATTGTGAAGCTATACCCTAGCCATACAAAAACATTGTTGTAACTAGTAAGGAACAAATAAAGAAACTTATCACAGATTCAAACTTCTAAGCAAAGCATGAAAAGAAATACAGGTGGCAATGTTGAATATATGAGCTTGCTTAGTTTCTAATTTCTATACCACTTTTTCCAGATTCTGAATCCAGGTTTCCTTTCAAATAAAGAATAAAAAATCAGGAGAAAATAGATCTATAATTAGTTAAATGTTAAAGTAGCACTTACTCTGCTCCATTTCTGCACATAAATGTTCATACATAAAACAGCTATAATGACTAAGATAATCACAAGTTAATAACTTAGGATAGACACTGACTCAGTCACATGTTATAGTCTTATAGACATAGAGTTTCAAAGAACAACATGGAGACTGAGAATGCATTATATATTAGTACTTTACATTGATATAGTGGTATAGATGGATAAATAGTTTGGTCAAATGTTATAGATATAGAAGTTCAAAGAATTTGGTGGTTAGATAAAGAATGCATTATATATTAGTAGCTTGATATGTACAAATCAGGAGCAACCTATAAATCAAGAAGTAACTCATGGAACCACCCGAATGAAAGATTAATCAAGAAAAAGTAGTCTTACTGGCATATCTTTATACTTTTTCTCTAGAAATCCCAGATCTGGCAGCACATGAATGCAATTAATACAACAGTATGTCCAAAAATCTAGAAGAACTATCTTGCCTCTCAAATCCTGTCAAGTAAACCAAAATTTATCAGCTGAAATTTAAATGTTAAATTTCCTTTCTGAACTTTTTCTGATAAAACTGTTAAATATTTCAACTAAAGGTAAATGTGAAGAGAAACATAATCATCACTTAAAATGTGTTCTTTAAATGCATTACATGGTGATAGATTGAATTCTTTGGCAGGTTGCCAAGGCTGCTGCACCCATCAAAAGGTAGTAAAGTAGAAGGGGAGGTAGAAACTCAGCGCTTTCCGATTATATTTGACAACTTTTGACCATTGACGTGTCAACACTAGGTGGCTAGCTCTTCTTTTCTATTTATCGTCATCAAGGCATCGACTGCACCTTTTTCTTATACTATGATTCAGATAAATACTTCATCTATGGTGTAAGTGCATATTTTTGATTGGCATTTATTGGTTTGTGATAGCGTCAATGCAGGAGGATACTCGTAGAAAGGAAGAGATCCTCGAGGATGAGCTATGGCGATCAACACAGTTGATCGCAGGGAACAGATTAGAGAACGAAAGAGACAGAAAAGGGATCGTATTATTCATCATGATTATTACAGAGGATATTAGGGTATTTAAAGGGGTTACAAAGCATCAACTGGTAACTAACTTGTAACAAATTCCCAACCATCATGATACATGTGGCAACTGTATCATCCCTTCCCCCATAAAGAGAGAACCCTCATCCCCTGAAACCCAAACATACACAACCAGCTAAGTAATGAAAAATTCAGGAAACTCTTTCTCAAAGTCTCTAGCATTTCTCCAAGAAGCATCTTCCACACTCTGCCCTTCCCATTGAACCAAATATTGAACAGCAGCCTTATTTCCTTGCTTGACTATCCTCCTTTCCAGTACAGCAACTGGTTTAACAGGGATAGCCACATTCCTTCCTTGTAACCCTTCTGGAATGTGTGGTTTGTTAGGCAAAACTCCCCTGAATTCCTTGAGCTGGGATACATGATAGGTATGATGAATTTGAGCTTCTGGAGGTTACAGAAATCTGTAGGCCACTTGTCCCACCTTAGCTTGTATTTGGAAGGGACCATAAAACTTAGGAGCCAACTTCTGATTGGGCCTAGATTGCAAAGTCTGTTGTCTGTATGGCTGTAACTTCAACCATACCCAGCCCCCCACCTTCATTTGCCTTTCAGACCTGTGTTTATCTGCTTGCATCTTCATCCTATGCTGAGCCTTCAATAAGTGGAGTTTTAAGACCTGAATCATAGCTTCTCTTCTTTGCAGGGATCTATCAACAGCCTCCACTTTAGTCTCCCCAGGTAGATATGGAAGATGAATAGGAGGTGGTGGTTGACTGTAAACTACCTCATAAGGTGTCATCTGTATAGAAGTGTGAAAAGAGGTGTTGTACCACCACTCTGCTAAGGCAATCCAATTACTCCATTCCTTTGGTTGATCACTGCACATACACCTTAGGTAGGCCTCAAGACATCTGTTCACCACTTCTGTTTGGCCATCAGTTTGTGGGTGGTAAGAAGTTGACAGTAACAGATCAGTGCCCTGGATAGTCATCAATGCTCTCCAAAAGTCGCTTAGGAATATTTTGTCCCTATCACTTACAATAGTTTGAGGCCATCCATGAAGCTTGAACACATTATCCAGGTAAGTTTGTGCCACTTCTATAGCTGAAAATGGATGTGTCAGTGTCATGAAGTGTGCATATTTGCTAAACTTGTCAACTACCACCATTATAACTTCCTTTCCACCAGATTTGGGTAAACCTTCTATGAAATCCATAGAAATGTCCTTCCATACTTCATCGGGGATCTGCAAGGGCTGTAAAAGACCCGGATAAGGGCTGTTGTCATACTTACAGCTTTGGCACACTACACACTACCGAATATTATTCTGCACCTCCTTGGTCATGCCTTTCCAAACAAACAGGTTTTTTTTAACTTCTTCAGTGTTGCATCTCTGCCTGAATGTCCCCCCATTGGTGAATTATGTACCCATGTGAGGATTTGACCCCTTAGGTTAGCATTTGGTCCAACCACAAGCCTCCCCTTTTTCCTCAACAGGTTTCCATGTAAACTGTATTTTGGTACTGCCTCACCTTGCTGTAGCTTTGCTATGGTTTCCCTCAAGTTATTATCCAACTGGTAACATTCTTCAATGATTTTAAAATGTCAGATTGCACCCCAGAGATTGCTAAAGCCAATAATTCCGATCCCTTAACCCTAGATAAAGCATCTGCCACCACATTTTCCTTCCCTTTCCTGTAGTGTATCTCATATTGGAACCCCATCAATTTGGATAACCAAAACTGTTGAAAGGGAGTGGAAATTTTCTGCTCCATAAGCCATTTCAAACTTTTCTGGTCAGTAATAATCACAAAGGTGTTACTACTTAAGTACTGTTCCCACTTTTGCACTGCATGTACCACAGCAAGTAACTCTTTCTCATATACTGACAATTGTTGCCACTTAGGTCCCAATGTTTTGCTTAGAAAAGCCAAAGGATGATTTTCTTGCATTAGGACAGCTCCAATTCCATAGGCAGAGGCATCAGTTTCCACAACAAATGTCTTCGCAAAATTAGGAAAACCTAGAACTGGGGTTTTCAATTCCTCTACAGCTTGTGTAGCTTCAATGCTCCAATTGAAGTGACCCTTTTTTAATAATTGTGTTAAGGGTTTGGCTATCAGTGCATAATTCCTTATAAACTTCCTGTAGTAGCCTGCCAATCCCAAGAAGCTCCTCAATTCCTTGATGTTAGAAGGACAAGGCCAATCCTGAATTGCCTTTATTTTTCTAGGATCAGTTGCAAGACCTTTGCCAGATATGAAATGCCCCAAATATTCCACTTGATCAGTGCCAAAATCACATTTAGACCTTTTGGCCACCAATTTATTGGCCTTCATAACTTCAAAGACCTTCTGTAGATGCTCTACATGATCTTCCAATGAACTACTGTAGACCAATATGTCATCAAAGAAGACCAAAACAAATTGCCTCAATAGTGGTCTGAAAAGCTGGTTCATAAGACCTAGAAAAGTGGCCGGGGCATTGGTAAGGCCAAATGGCATTACTAAAAATTCATAGTGCCCAGAATGTGTTTTAAATGCAGTCTTAAAAATGTCCTCTTCTGCCATTCTGATTTGATGGTAACCAGCCCTCAAGTCAATTTTACTAAACACTTTGGCTCCTGCCAGCTCATCCATGAGCTCTTCCACCAAGGGAATAGGGAACTTATTTTTAATGGTTTACTTGTTAAGTTCCCTATAATCCACACACAATCTCCAAGTTCCATCTTTTTTCCCCACTAGGACTACTGGAAAGGCATATGGGCTGCAACTATGTTGAATTATTCCCTTATCCAGCATTTCTTCAATCAATTTCTCAATCACATCCTTTTGCTTGAGAGCATATCTGTATGGCCTGATACTGATAGGTACATCATTTTGTTTTAAAGGTATTCTGTGATCAAATGTACCCCTCTCAGGTGGTAGCTCTGTAGGTTCCTTAAACACATCTTCATACTTGTGTAACAACTGATTTATCACAGCATAGGTGCCTTGGTGGGTTATACCTTCTTGCTCTTCCTTTACTGTGGGAAGGATCTGCAGTATACACAGATGGCAGGCTTCCTTCATCACCTTGGATGTTTGAGGTCCTTCTAAAACCATCACCTTGGGTCCTTGAAGTCCCCTTAAAATGTGCCTCTTTCCCTTGAAGTGGAATTCCATCTGTAACTCCTTGAAATTCCATTTGATAGTACCCAAAGTAATCAGCCACTGCACACCTAACACCATATCACAGCTGCCCAAGGGAATCAAAAACATATCCATGCAGAAGTCAGTCCCTTGCAAACTCCATTTAAAATTTTTATACATGTGTCGACATTTCAGAGTACTACCATCAGCCACGTTGCAAGGATATGGGTTCCACTCTACATTCCAACTTCTTGGCTAACTCAATATTTAGAAAATTTTGAGTGCTGCCCGAATCCACTAAGATTTGGATGGCTTTCTTACCAACATGGCCAGTAACTCTCATAGTTTGGTAACCTGTGATGCCATTGACAGCATGAAATGAAATGCAAGGCTCGGTCTCCAAAATTTCAAACTCATTGTGACCATCCAAGGCTCGGTCTCCAAAATAACCGAGTTAAACTCGGGTCGTTCTCTCCAGGAGTGACGAAGGGAATCGTTAGTTTTATTATTTATCACAGGTAAATTTATAGTCTAAGAGATGCGAATAAATAAGAAATAAGGGGACTAAAATAATTGATAAAACAACTTCAGGAGTTAGGATTAGAACTCGGACTCAACACAATTTAACTTATCTTTTAATCGACAATTGAATTAATGAAATGTGTAGCATTTATGTCCAATATATCTCCTATTTCTAGGTCTCAATATAGAACATAAAATGCTAATATTATAATTAATACATCTCCTATTTCTAGGTCTCAGTATTAATTATAAAATTATTATATTCCCAGTACATCTATTTCTAGGTCTCAGTATCGTGTTAAAAAATGTTTGGCTTAAATAATTCTAAATCCTCATAGACAAGGCAAGAACTATTTTCCAATTATTTAATTAATAAAATGTTTAGTATTATTAATTAGTTAAAACCATTCCAAATGGTTATTTCTAACCCTGCCTATTTCTAGGTGTTCGGAACGTGTGACTTAATTAATCTTATAACCTCATAAACAAGATAAAAGATTAATTTCTAAGGATTAATTAATAATAAAAACAATTTTATTAATTAATAAATTTTAATTCATTTTCTAACAATTAATCCAATTACTAATAAATAGATGAAATTAAATTGATTAAATCTTTATTCCAAATCCTAACCCATATATAATTACCAAATCATAATCTCAAACAAAATATTCAATATCATCATAACAACATATAAAATTCTTAAAGAGGCTGAGACAGAGGCAAGCCGGTTGAGACAGAGGCTGTGGCGGTTACAGTCACGACTGGGTTGGAGCTCGGTGGAGCTTCAACTGTCCTTT